AACCTGACTGAAAACCCTAGGTAGCATGTACTTGTTTCATATTAGGCACTATTCTAAGCAGGTTACTGATATGAATTCATTCAGAACCCATACATTAATGAACAAGATCCATGACTTCTGAATCTTTCTAACCACTCCAACCCCATGTAATTCTGACGTGGCATTGAAGCCTTCTATCCCTTTGGTTCATCTGTTATATCCATTCTCTCTTCTGGTGGCATCGACTCCTTTACTCTCACTTCCTGGGGTTTGGTTTGAGGTTTGAGTGGAGTTGACCCATTTCCTAGGTTTGGGGTGGACACATGACCCAGGCCTACCCAATCAGGACCTTCCATTTCTGTGGCCACAGTCACTGGCTCAGGGATGGGCACCAGATCCAAGCCAGGCCAACAAAACCCAATTCCTGTAATTCTACCGCACCTACTGGGAGAGAGTTTTCTTCCCACCAAGGTTGATAACTCACCAGGATGAGAGCCCAGGGCTGTCCGCAACCTTGTTGCAGCCACTGGGACAGCCTGCCCCTGGGTTAAACCATCAGGCGGGAAAGAGCCCAGCAGCTGGAGAGAAATGGATTCCTGAAGTTGCCAATTAAGCATAGGGATCCAGCCGTCCAGCCATCCCAGCCATTTAGTTTTTAGGCCAATAATTACCTTTTCTGCTTAATCCAATGTGAGTCAGATTTTGGTTACTCATGCTAAAATCATCCTATTATAGATAAATTTCTTAACAGGATGCTAATGAACACTTATGGGACTACTATTACATAACAGGCCTCTATCCATGGCACATTCGTTAGCTTGTAGATTTTCAAAACCACTTTGCCAAAAGTACTTGATAACATTGGTGACTGAACATTTTTGTTCACGTACATCCAAGAAGAATTTTGAAAAAACTGTGTTCCCCCCTGATGATTCTTAAAGTTTTAACATTTAAGAAACCATTTCTCAGGCTAGATTTAAGTTATTGCAAAGGATGTAATTTCTCCCACATTAGAGATACTGACATTTCAAATAAAACTTTTAGATCATGTTTTCAGATATAAAGTTTCACCTATAGAAGATGGGTAAGTTCTAGAGATCAGCCACACAGCATTGCACTTATACTTAACAGTTCTGTATTGTGGACATAAAAATTTGTTAAGAGGGTAGATCTCATGATAAGCCTTCTTATCCCCCAAATAAACAAGCCTCTCACATTACTTTTAAATGTGTCTGGTGGAACCGAAATATCCCAGTGATTTTAATACCCCTCATTGTCCATATACCAAACAGTGAACAGACTCTTCAACAGTCAGAAATCTGCATCATACGTTTTCTCCTTCAACTGGTATTTCTATTCCATATCCTCTGCAGAATTCTACCCTGATATAATATGTTCTTGAAGATCTTATGGTGATCGCCCATCATTCCTCTCCAATGAAGTCATACAAATTTAAATATTTTAATTTCCTTTGATCATAAGGTTATAAGGTTTAAATTTTCTTTAATTTGGGGTAATCTACAATTGCAGTGATAAGTAGTATAAATTGATTAAAGGAACAAAAATATTAACTATTAAACATAAAAAGTAGTGTTATTAGAAATACCTATCTTAAATTAAATATGGGTGGATGTTGAAACCACAATGTTCATGTGAAACCTTCATAAAATTATATATAAATAATACTTAAAAAAATACATAGTGAGGTGGTTGAATTTTTGGTGGCAATGAGCGTATCTTGTTTGTAATAAAAATTGCTTACTGCCAGAATGAATCAGGCTTTGGCATCAAATCTATCCCCATTATTCATGTAGAGAGATGTATGCCCTGTGGAAAACTACTCAGCAATTAAAAAAGTATATTGACTCATGCAACAACTTGGATGGACCTCAAGGGAATTATGATGACTAAGACAGGGCAATCTGAAAAAGTCAGATACTGTATAATTCCATTTAAATAACTGTTGTCAGGCAGCTGCGTCTGGAGAGGTCTTTCCCCAAGCACACATGAGGTGAAACTTCAGCCTGGATGGGGGAGGGTTCTTGACTCTGACTGAGAAAATTCTTGAATGGATGAGCGTAGGAAAGGAAGGAATTCATTAAAGTGGAAGTAGTAGTGAATGGCAGCTGCGTCGCAGGCAGCAGAGAGCACAGAAGAGCAGAGGAAGGAAAGAAGCTCACTAACTTCCTGCTCAGCACAGGGCAAATCCCCTGCCAACTCCTGAAGCCAGGGTCCCCTGGCACCCAGTGTCTGCTTGGATCTGCACAGCGTGGGAACTAAGCTCCTACCACCCCAGGATTTGGGGGAGCCACAGAGCACTGGATGGAGTGAGACTGTGTTCTGAGAACTTCCCAAGGGCAAAGGCTACTAAAGGGCATGATTGTACAGCCACAGTCCTGTCTGGGTCACCCAGGCGACAGGAACTTGCAACTCAACTCAAATCAGACATCTCAGTAGCCCTTCCCTACTTGTCTGAAGTAGGACAGAGAGAGTGAAGATTTGTGCGTAAGTCTAGAAAATAGAATGAAATAACAAAGTAACAAAGACGCTTACCGCTGGAAGCACAGAGACAGGACGTAGTAAGTTAAGCAGTGAGAAGTCTTTATTTAAGGCAAAAAAGTACACATTTGAAGAAAGGGGAGTGTGGGCAACCTCAGAGAGGAGGCTCACTAAAGGGCTTAGGCTTTGTCTTTTAAGGATTTCAAGAATGGGCCAAAGGGTGGAGGAGGTTACATAGGCTTGACATGCGGTCTCATGATGTCTCTCTCTGGTGAGAAACATAATGTCACCGACCACAGTCAGTCCTCTAGATATTCTGTAAGGTAAACTTCACACTAGGAATTTCTTGATCCTCTTCCTCTCCAAGACAGTGGTTACCCTCAAGCAGTAGAAACATATCAGTTAGGACTGCTGGCCCTGCCTTAAGATAGGTTGTTGGCTGATTACCAAAGAATATGTTAGGAATCTCACTTCCTAACTCCCTGGTTTTTAAAGTGGAATCTTCGACTTATGATGGAGTCCCTCCTGTTCTTACTATACTGTTTATATCTCAGCATTTTTAACCAGAGACGGTAATATTAATCATGATGCTTGTCCCATGTCCCTGCACTACCTCATAATCTCCAGATGACAAAATTATAGAGATGGAGAACAAATTAGTGATTGCCAGGGGTGAGCTATGGGCGGCAGAGGGTGGGGAGGGTGCTGACAATAAAGCGGTAGCGCAAGGGAGAGCGTCCTAGGGAGGGAATGGTTCTGTGCCCTGATTGTGGTGGTGGTTATGGAAATACAATATGAGACAAGATAGCCAAGAAATACACAAACATCCCACCAGTGTCAGTTTCCTGGTTTTGATATTGTGCTGTGACTACGTAAGATTAATCATTGGAGCACACTGGGTGAAGGGTACATTGGCTGTCTCTGTATTACCTTTGAAACTTCCTGTGAATCCATAATTATGTAATTATAATAATAAAAAAAAGATGTATCTTCTGGGACACCAGCTTCACATAAATCAGTAGGTGGTCTGAAAAAGCTTTATCACAGGGATGTCATTCATTCTTTTAATTCCTTCAGCATAGTATGTCAGAAATCACTGAGTGACCTTTCATCAAAATGAATTTTAATGATCTATTAATGGGCAATTCAATTAGGTCCTCCTCTAATTTTGCTGAAAACAATGCATGGGAAACGACCTGATTTGTCAGGACTGTTTATAATGGCTGTTACCCAGTCATTAGGCATTCACATTCTCACTGCAGCCACAGATATTTCCATTTGTCTCTGTGTTTGGTGTCCAGGGGTCCCCACCCCCTGGGGCACAGTGCACTTTAGTGAGACTGAGGGTAGGTGGTGGGGAAGAAGAGTGGCTTCACAGGGGGAGGGAGCCTGAGACCCAGCCTGACACTTCACACACAGCGGTGGCTGGGCAGATCTGTTTGGGAAGGAGGGCAGGTGAAAGTGGAGTTTGGAAGCTGTTTCTCCCTTTGGGAAGATGCCGAGAGACACCTCCCTCACGCAGAACCCGCTCAAGGCCCTGGTGGTAGCTCTGCTTTCACAGCAGAGGAAAAAAGCTAAGAGCACCCAGGCAGTTCACCCAGAACCACCAGCAAGGGCCTGAGCTGGGACTAGGACTCAAGGAACTTACTCCAAAATCCATTTTCTTTCAACCACACTGTCCTGTGCAAACAAGTTTGTTTCCCCTTGTTATTACAGGGAAATGCAAAATTACGCTTTGTGCGCATCAGAAATTGCCTGTGTGTTACCATTGCAAATAACGTTACTACTACCTGCTAAGCACACCACTACTGGGAAATATAAGTTGTACAAAATTACAAGGAAAACATTTAATTTTCTCACTTCCACAAGAAATCCAGCTTCAATTATCACAGAATTGTTGCCTTGTGACCAGCAGATGGCGCCACCACCTCATAGTTGCTGACTCAGGTTTTGGGAAATTCCCATTTTGTAGGCAGCTATAGATTAAGGTGAAAGGGAAACGAGGTTTGTAGCCCTTTCTGACTCTCCGACTCACTCTTGTTTTTCTCCTCAAAGCTTCAGTATCTAGCTCTAATTGATTTGGTTTCCTTCTTTGGTACCAGAGAGGATTTTAGCTGGTAGTTTTGTCCATGAGTAGGCGAAGAATGAATACATCACGTACAGAATGTTACCTGTGCACTGAGCACTTTGCCTGGATCGCCTCATTTAACCCTTATAAAAAGAGAGGGAAGTTCTGTTTGATAACAATAGTACAGGCCTGCAGCACCTAGATTCTGTTTTATTGTTTTACTCTTCAGTAACCAACTGATATGTTTTTGGAAATGTTAATAAAATATCACATCAATTTCTATTATGTACAACCCTTTATTGGATAAAGTGGTCTATTCTGGATGACTTTAATAAAATGAGGAAAATCAAATGATTCATAAATATTATATATGAAATTTTCATTTATAACCATTATATACACAAATAATATTTATATTTACTATATAAATATATACATGTGTGTATCTTTGCAGTTAGAAAGACTGGGCACGGTCAGTGGGTACCAGTTCGTCCCTGCTCAGCTGGTACCACACGAGCTCCAGGCTTTGAGGAGGTAGGTACATGGCTCCTTCCCAGATGAAATACGATTACCAAATATCACCATGTGGCACAAATATTTCCAAGCCCACTCATCAGCTCACTTAGGCTCATTACACTGATCCCGTATTACCCAGCTAATTAACCAGCTAAGCCTCTTACCATGCAGATGAAGAGATCATCATGCAAAGACAGGTCCCTGACCTGAGACACACAATAGCGGCAGTGGTAAATCCTGGTCCCCTGGCCCTGCAGCAGGGTTCCTTCCTCTTGTATGGCTCTGACTTCACGTGCTTAAAAAAGAATTCCGAGTACAGGACTTCTCACTTACCTCTTGTTAAATGCCATCGTCTTGCTTCGGCCTTCATCACTATTTTGATTTCTTTTTAAAATATTAAATCTGTCGGGATAAATTTGACAATTTATCAAATTGTGTGCTCTTAACACATTTGGTAATTTCTCTTGTGTCCTCCTTCTGTGACTTTAATACAAATGTGAAGTGGCCAACTTTGATGATGCAGCCTATTTACAAATTCCATTTAGGATTTTTGGTTTCAGTCAGCTTGCTACAGATTGGCTTGTCTAAAGCTTGTGGTTGGAATTGCTTCCAGCTGTGAATAACAAAGCCCAACAATGGCTGCAGAAAGGAAGATTTTACTTTTTCTTCTTAATAAGAGATCCAGATGCAGGTAATCCAGGACTCCTACCCTTTTCACTTCCTTTCCCACTCTGTGCATTTCACTTTTTCTTCCTGACACAGGATAGCTACTGAAGCTCAAACCATAATATCCACATTCCAGGTGGGAAAAGGAGGCATGACAGAGTACAAAGAGCAGAACACTTCTCTTAAGCATTTAATTCCGGAAATGATTTCTGCTTACACCTCATTGGCCGAAACTGTGTCATATGGCTACACCTGGCTCCAAGGGAGACTTCGAATGAGAGCGTCCTGCTTTCTAGTCCCTGGACCAGAGAAAGATGAAAGGGTGAAATGGGTGTGGGAAGCCATTTCTGTGATCTATTACTGCAGAACAGACTGCCCCAACACAGAGTGGCTTAAAACAAGCATTTTATTACATCTCAGGACTTTGGAAGTCAGGCATTCGGATAGGGCTCAGCTGGGTGATTATTTTTGTTCCTTTTTGGGAACACTGATTACTAGGAGTCACTTGGTAGCTGAGTCTGTGCAGAATCCAGAACAGCTTCATTCACACATGCAGCGCTTTGGTGGGGACGGTTGAGGGCTGAGTTGCACAGGGAGACTGCATGTGGCCTTTGCAGCCTATGAGCTCTCAGGGAGTCAGACTTCTTACACCGCAGCTTGGGGCTCCCAGAGGGAGTTTCCAGAGGGAGTGCTCCAGCTTCAGAGCAGAAGTTGCATAGCCTTTATGACTGGCTTTTGGAATCACAGAGGGTCACATCCACTGGACTCTTGGTAAAAGCTGTTACAAAGCTGCTTAGATCCAAAAGAGGAAGCAGACCCAGTAGGGTAGTGGAGCCAGCAAAAGTTTCAAACATTTTGCAAGTCAGTCAGTAAACACAGCCATCCTTGAAATCAGTCAGGGTGGGAATATTTACACCACAGAAACTGGCAAACACTATACATCAGGGCTTTTTCCTTCAGAGAGCCTGCTGTTAACCATTCAGCAGCACAGCACTGCACAGACCTCACCCCTCTTTGGGAAGAGCGTCAAAACATTTGCAGCCATGTGTTTGCATCCATACAAACCAACCTTAGTATCCTCTAGATAAACTTTCTCTGGTCCAGCCCACAACTCTATTTGGTCCACAAGGACCTCTTGAGACATCTTGTTGAATCCGTGGGGGTCATCTTGCAATCCGTGACCCTCTGGTCTAGTAACTCTGTGCAAAAACAGTATTCAGGTGCTTTTCACTCAACTTGTTCTAAATAAACCCATGGTGGCTGCTAGCACCACCACTTTCTTTTCCAAGTGCTCAAACTATCAGTTTAATAACTTGTAGAATTTCTTTTAAGGATTATTTGGTTTATAATTTCCAGGAGCCTTCTTTTGTTTGAATTAGGACAAACTGTTTCTTAAATTGTATAATATAATGCACATCCAGAAAGGTATACAAAACATAAGTATGTACTAATGGACAAATAACTATGAATCAAACATCCCTGGAACTACTCAGAATGAGTAAGTTGAAGTTTGGGAGAGCCCCAGAAGCCCAGATGTGTGTCTCCCAAGAGGAACCCCCTTCTTTCCCCCCACATTCCTGACGTTAGTGGCATTCACCACATGCTTTTCTTCGTAGTTCCAGCAGTTTTCTGTGCATTCCTGAATTACATCGTTGAACTATTGAACAGTCTATGAATGGAACCAGACTGTATTTATAGCGGGACAAAATGCCCAACTCTGAACTTTTAGTGCTTCAGTCTCCATAATTTCTCTAAGAGTAACAAGATGGATTGCACCATCATAGTTGTAAAATCTTTCAGGCAATTTTAGGCCAAAGCCTCCTAAATCTTTGATGTGCTATCATGACATTTCATCAGTATTCATCAAAATGTGAACTTCTCAGGAAGTAGAAGATTGAAAATGTAAATGTATTTTTTGCTGTTGAGCTGGGTCAAGGGTTTCTTAAACATCTACCAAATCTACTTTGATAAAAGAAAAAATAATAAAAATATTAATTTTTTTTATGTTACATAGAAAACATTATGACCCAGGTATAAAATCTTATACATAGTTTATATCACATACTATTATACAACATAGTTTGTATTTACATTCTAGCCCATATTTAAGTCCTCCAGTGACTGTCCTGTGCTTTATGTGCTCCCCAGTGGGGCTGCCTTGATCCCTCTCTTCTTGACCACACTTCGGTCAGGTTCCTCTGAGCCATCTTCCAGGCATTGACCTTGGGCCTCCCCCATCCCCAGTTTTAGCAAGAGTCCTGTTATGTCACTTTAAAGAGAACTTTCATCCTTGATTTGGATCAGGTTCCTCATCCGCCACCTTTGATGTATGAGTCCGTGGCCTGCCTAGTAAGCATCCTGCCAGGTCAGTTTAGCAAGAATCCCCCCACTGTCATATCTTCTCTTAGTACTTCTCCGCCCTCTGGCCCCCTCACCCAGCTCCTTGGCAGTAAAACCCCACCTGTCCTTATTGTATTCAGTGTTAAGCCTGATCTCTCCCCCTATTTTGATAATCTGGGATGAAGTCTTCCTGATCACTAACAAGTGTCAAAATAATTTTTTTGTTTGACAGCCTCTGAAATCCAGTAGCATCCTTGGCGTTTGCTGATCTCTGGTTCTCTTCTTGCCATTGAAATCCCGATTTTTCTTGTTCAGATGACTCAAAGCCCACTCTTTAAATTCTCTGTCTTTCTTCTTTTTTTTTTTTTCGTTTTTGATTGAATTTAATTAAAGGGCACGTGCTGAAGAGAAAACTATTCTGAGTATCTTTTTTTTTTCACAATTGATCAAGTCTTTCTTCTTTTTTTATCCCAATGTTTCTCAGACTATTTTAGCCAGTCTCATACCTGGAAATTTGCAAGGGCCCAGAAGGACAGGGAGAGAAATCAGCCTCCCAACCTAGGCCGCCATCTGTCCATCCCTGCTCCCAGCCCTATTAGACACACATGGGCACACACTCAGTCACACTCATATACACTCACACACACACAGACCTGTCACCCATTCTGGCACCTGTGCTGCACAGGGACTGGAGGGATGAGGGCCACCCCGCACTCTCAGGATTACCACAGAGACAGAGCCTCTACTATATCGTGAAGACTTTGGGGAATATACAACCCGTCTGCACTTCACTAGGTTCTCCAACCACAGTCACTTTCTTTTAACTCTGTTACATCTCACAGACCTTCATAGGCCCTATTCTGAAGGAGGCGAGGTGTGCAGGTGTGTGGAGAATGAGATGACTGCCACCCATGAAGTAATTCCTAGTAGAAGAAAGAACAACAAATCTGTCTCCCTTCAAAACAACTGGATTCAAAACAATAAGCAGTTCACCACTGTGTGGGGGTGGGGGATCCTTCCGCCCTGAATCACGAGTCCCAGGGGAGCTGAGGTCTCTCAGAGAGCTCCAGTGTGACCTAGGGGCATGACCCTGAGTGGGGCGGGGGGGTGGGGGGAGCACCCCGTGGACCAGCGTTCAGAGGCTGGCTCCCTGTCCCTCCCACCCACCCCCAACCTGTTCTACACCCGGTATTCCCTCTTACATTCATTTTCTAGAGCTCCCATAACAAAATGCCAGAGATTGGGTGGCTTAAACTACAGAAGTGCTTTTCCTCATAGTCTGGAGGCTGAAAGTGCAAGATCAAGGTGCTAGCAGGGCTGCTTTCTTCTGAGGCCTCCCTCCTTGGCTTGTAGATGGCTGCCTTCTCCATGTCCTCACAGGGCCTTTCCTGTGCACGTGTGCATCCTGGATGTCTCTGTGCATTTCTGGGTCCTAATATATATCCTGCTCTTATGAGGAAATCAGTCATATTGGATCAGGGCCCACCCATGTGAACTCATCTTACTTATTCACCTCTTTAAAGGCCCCATCTCCAAATACAGCCGCATTCTGAGGTGCTAGGAGTTAGGATGTCAACACAGGAATGTTGGGGGATACCATTCGGCCTGCAATGTCCATTTTTGCCAGTCTCATCACAATTCAGGACCATGGGGCAATAAGCACGAGACTCAAAGTCGACATGTTGAGGACAGTAGAGTAGAAGAGTCAGAGACCTGGGTCCTTGGAGGCATCAGTGTCCCATCCCCCTCACAGCTGCTTGTTAAGTGAGCAGTAGATGTCCTTGTGGTTTAAGCTTAGTCAGACGTCCTGTCATTTGCAGCTGAAAGCATTCCCACCCGGTACACCTAGCATACAGCAGGTACTCAGTGAGTATGTGTAAACAATGAGCTCTCCTGCTTCAAAGCTTAGCAGCTCTCCACCCACTGGTGAAACCGAGACTTCTCAGCAGATCACACAGGATTTTCTCCCTGCTGTGTCTGGTCTCATCCTCCATCACCAGCTGCACCTCCATCCATCCCTTAGGCAGAGCCAATCCTTTCGCTGAGGGTAATCAATCAAGAAGGATGCAGAGAGAACCAAGAGCCAAATGTGCACGTCGGCAGTTTGAGGAGGCAGCAGTGTGTGTGCACGGCACAGAGGCGATGCAGCCCGAGTGGGAGAGAATTCTAGCAGACAAGGCCGAGGAGAGATTTTCAAAGCTGGACAAAATCTTGGGTGAGAGATTAGGAGGTCCTTGAAGAGACACAGGAAGAATACAGATCACAAGGTTAAGGAAAGATCACTGTCCTCCCCCAAAACAGGAACTACGGTGAAATGGAAAGTGGGTGTAATCATTTCCTGAGGCTGCCAAACAAACTACCACAAACTGGGTGGCTTCAAACAAAATTTACTCTCTGAGGTCAGAAGTTCAAACTGAAGGTGTCAGTTGGCAGAGTTGGTTCCTTCTTGGGGGGCTCTGAGGCGAACTTGTTCCCTGCCCCTGTGCTGACATCTGATGGTTGCCAGAAATCCTTGGCCCTTCTCGGCTTGAAGCTACAGGATTCCAGCTTCCACTCTCACATGCTGTCTTCCCTCTGTGTATTTCTGCCTCATTGTCTCTTTTCTTATAAGGACATCAGCCATGTTATATCAAGGATCAACCCCCCTCTAGTTTGAATTCATCTTAATTTACATCTTAATTATATATGCAAAGGCCATATTCCCAAATAAGTTCACCTTCACAGGTGCCAGTGCCCAAAATCTGTGTTGGTTTGCTACAGCCTCTGTAACAAAGTATCAGAAATTGTTTGGTGTAAACAGCAGAAATGCACTCCAACACCCAGAGGCTGGAAGTTCCAGGATCAAGATCTCAGCAGGGTTGGCCCCTCCTGAGGGCCATGAAGGAAGGGTTTCTTCCAGGCCTTTCTCCTTGGTTTGTAGATGGCTGTCTTCTCCCTGTCTCATCACATCATCTTCCCACCATGCATGTTAGCATTCAGCATATCCTTTCGTGGGACCCAGTTCAGCCCTCCTTTGGGGTGCTCTCTCATGCTAAGGCAATGCCCTGAAAGGGTGTAGTTGACTGTCAGCAAAGCTCTGTGATGGTGGAATGGGAATTTTTCATAATATTTTATATGATAGTCTTAAGAAAGATGTGATGTTCCTTTCTTTGCTACATGATGATCTGTCTTCCTGGGTCCTAGTCATTTTTTATTCTCCACAGCACCTGACACAGTGCATCATATGGAACAAGGTCTCAGAAAGGTCCATGGAGCTTAAGGGTCTTCATTTCTGTGTACCCCCAGCAGCAGGGCCAGTGCCTGGCATTTACAATAGAGGATATGCTACAGGCTGGTAAGCCAAATGTGCACGTCGGCAGTTTGAGGAGGCAGCAGTGTGTGTGCACGGCACAGAGGCGATGCAGCCCGAGTGGGAGAGAATTCTAGCAGACAAGGCCGAGGAGAGATTTTCAAAGCTGGACAAAATCTTGGGTGAGAGATTAGGAGGTCCTTGAAGAGACACAGGAAGAATACAGATCACAAGGTTAAGGAAAGATCACTGTCCTCCCCCAAAACAGGAACTACGGTGAAATGGAAAGTGGGTGTAATCATTTCCTGAGGCTGCCAAACAAACTACCACAAACTGGGTGGCTTCAAACAAAATTTACTCTCTGAGGTCAGAAGTTCAAACTGAAGGTGTCAGTTGGCAGAGTTGGTTCCTTCTTGGGGGGCTCTGAGGCGAACTTGTTCCCTGCCCCTGTGCTGACATCTGATGGTTGCCAGAAATCCTTGGCCCTTCTCGGCTTGAAGCTACAGGATTCCAGCTTCCACTCTCACATGCTGTCTTCCCTCTGTGTATTTCTGCCTCATTGTCTCTTTTCTTATAAGGACATCAGCCATGTTATATCAAGGATCAACCCCCCTCTAGTTTGAATTCATCTTAATTTACATCTTAATTATATATGCAAAGGCCATATTCCCAAATAAGTTCACCTTCACAGGTGCCAGTGCCCAAAATCTGTGTTGGTTTGCTACAGCCTCTGTAACAAAGTATCAGAAATTGTTTGGTGTAAACAGCAGAAATGCACTCCAACACCCAGAGGCTGGAAGTTCCAGGATCAAGATCTCAGCAGGGTTGGCCCCTCCTGAGGGCCATGAAGGAAGGGTTTCTTCCAGGCCTTTCTCCTTGGTTTGTAGATGGCTGTCTTCTCCCTGTCTCATCACATCATCTTCCCACCATGCATGTTAGCATTCAGCATATCCTTTCGTGGGACCCAGTTCAGCCCTCCTTTGGGGTGCTCTCTCATGCTAAGGCAATGCCCTGAAAGGGTGTAGTTGACTGTCAGCAAAGCTCTGTGATGGTGGAATGGGAATTTTTCGTAATATTTTATATGATAGTCTTAAGAAAGATGTGATGTTCCTTTCTTTGCTACATGATGATCTGTCTTCCTGGGTCCTAGTCATTTTTTATTCTCCACAGCACCTGACACAGTGCATCATATGGAACAAGGTCTCAGAAAGGTCCATGGAGCTTAAGGGTCTTCATTTCTGTGTACCCCCAGCAGCAGGGCCAGTGCCTGGCATTTACAATAGAGGATATGCTACAGGCTGGTACTTGGGAGGCTAGACTTTCATTTTGGACAAATTGGGTTCAAATCCTAGCTTTTCTTGTTTTGGATTAACCCTCTGACCGTCTGTTTGCTCATCCATGCAATGGGAACCATTGTGTATTTACCCCACATGGTTGTTATGAGGATAAAATTATTCAGTGCAGAAATGTTCAGCACAATGCTTGGCTCATGACAAGTGCTTAATAAGTGCTAACTACTGTTGGGCACTCATGGAAGTGCGTTGACAATGTCCCCTCTCCAGAAATGTACTTGCCTTTCAGTGGGTCATAGAATGTGGGGCAGTGCCTGGATTTTCCTTTGCCAAATCCAGCCATAACATACCTGCCCAGCCATAACACGCATCTGATAACTTTCCCACGGTGGCCATCGGAATGAGCGTGAGAGGAAGCTCCTAGGCTTTATTCTTCTGAATGCTGTGATCATCTAATGCAATAGTTCATTTCTACTATTATAAGCTTTGCTTTGGTTTGTTTGATCTTAGACTCCAGGTCTTTGTTAATGTATTTATTTCACAACTTTTGGAGAAAGAAACACTTCAGAGGGAGGGAGTGCTGTTTGGCAGGAGACACACTGTAGAGCCAGTGGGTGGGGGCTTGTCTGCGTAAAAGCCCCACAGAGGTGGAGGACCTTTGTTCCTGCATCCTAGGCATGTCAGAACACAGGAATGACAGGATTCTGCCACAGGAGCCACGGGCTCTGGAAGACCGAGGGGAGGAGGGCTTGC